GTGCCGAACACCTTCTCACACAACCCTCCCTGCAGTGCTAGGCAGCACCCCCTCACTTGTTCCACGTCAGGAATCCTAGACTTCTTCAATTCAGAATCTACCATAATGTCACAGTGCTGAGCTAGAATTCACGAGGTCTGCCTGAGCGGGGACGCAGTGGTCGTGGAGCCGGTGTTCCACCTCTCCTGCGAGGTGATCTTTCATCCTGTGCTCTCGGAGCAGGGCCCTCAGCCTGTCCGGGACTGGCACCCTCGCTGGGTCGAAGCGTTCTGAGTCTGACCACTGCTATATGCTCGTGGCTAGCTCATTGGCTTTGGCAGGAGAGCTGTGATGGTTGAGGGTCCGGCCGTCTAAAGGGCCTGCATCGTGGCTAAATTCAAGGGATTCATTCCCACCTTGGGACTGCACAATTCCCTTTGTATTCACCATTGGATGCGAGTGCATCTGGACCAATTGGGGGTGCATTCTGCTAAGCAAATAGGTCTTTCCGGAAGAGCTGAGCCAGCTCGGGCTGTGCCTCTGCATTGAGGGCTGTCTGAAACTCCTGGCTCTGGTGGTACTGAAAGCAGGCAAACCAGCGCATCGCCTTCTGTCTGCACCTGTGTCCAGAGGCTAAATGTTCATTGGTTTAAGCCAGGCTTACTGTCTTGTTGAGCTGCGTTACCACGTGAAAGTGTTGACTGAACTTGGCTCCCCGAGACTGAGCTACTGCGGTGACTCATCTGTTATGGGTCCGGGATCAGCTCCCAGCATGTTAAGAAGAGCAACAAACAACTTCCTTGTTTTATGAAGTGCTAACAGCAGAAAACTCGTTAATTTCCTAATTGTCCTCCCCTGCCCTAGCTTTAGCTCCCGCATGTAGCTGCTGCAGGCGACCCGAGCTCTGCAGTAACAACTTGCTGTTCCCCCCTCATGCAGCTGCTGTGTTGGAGTCTGCTTTTCCCAGAGCCCGTACCTTGTGCCCATTCATAAGCATGTAATTAGGCATTTGTCATCCATGTCTAGAATAGGCCACATATGTTGTAAACATTTAACGCACTGCTATAAAAAGCTGCCTATATCCTTCCGAGACACTGCTGTGTGAATGGAGATGTTTATCCAGGAGTGCATGCGCTCCCTCTGTTTACCAGTGTGACCATCATGTTTAAGAACTCTGTAATTTGCCCTTGTTGCCTGCTTAAATTTCAGTTTTTAGCATGTGATTTCATTTCCTTGAAAGGAAATCTTACCCATTTAGCATATCTCAGAACTTTTTTTATAGGATGTGAGATGTTTTTCTTGCACTGAATAATACATCTTGGATGCTTTGATTTCTCACTTATTAGAAAAGCTGGTATCTGAGAAGACTGTTGCAGCTTCTCTCTGCAGAGTGGGTATGGATTTGGCCCCGTGGTGGGCACCTGTTCCCTCCAGCCCCACCTCCTTGCCATGCCCTGGCCATAGCACAGCTGTCAGCTGCCCTGGCCACTGCAGGGCCCTTTGGGACATTTGCCCTGTGTTCACCACACACTGTCACCGAGTCCACAGCCACAGTCACCTTTGGAAGGAGGCCCTGGTGTCCTCACTTTACCGACCAGTTAGCTAAGCCCTTGTGGTTGCCTGCATGCCCAGGGCTAGGGTTGGGGCAGCCATCTGTTCCCTCAGCTAAACCAGAAACTTGAGACCCACCTTCCGCCTGGCACAGATACACACTGCCCGTGTTTTCAGGGTGCTGGTACCAGTTCTGGGGTGCTTTCGGTCCAAGCAGTCATGACACCCTCTCCTGGACCTCACCCTCACTTCACCTTGGGGCTCATGGAAGCCCTCCTTTCCCAGTGGAAGTCTGTTGTCACACCCTCGCTGCCTGCACGTGTGGGGCAGGTTCTTGGAAGAGAAGGACGTGAAGACTGTCAGAACTTTTGGACACTCTTGCATGTGGGGCCACTGCCAGCTTGGCCGTGGACCTTCCAGGCCCCACCCTCCCTGCCTGTGGCACACACTGTCTGGGGAGGATAAGTTCACTTTCTCCCAGATTCTCCTGGACCAATTTTGTATAATGCAGTATAAAGGGAGTTACTAAATAAATAAAGAAAAGGAAAGAAAATTCAAGCCCAAATTTTGTCAAAGAGATTCTGCTGCAGGTATCAGATTGCCAGCAGCTTCTCAGCTTGTCCTCTTAGTGTCTGCTCCTGCCACCTGCCAGGCTCTCCAGACCTCCCTTAGAGTCAGCCTTAGCAAACAAGGGACCATGGAGAAGGTGCCCGCTTAGGAGCCTCCCTTGTACCTCGGAGCCAGTAGCAGATCACCTGGCGCTGTCGGAATTGAATGGGCTCCCTGCACTGCCTGCTGTACCTCGAATGCGCGAGGTGTCTACCATGCAGCAGCGCATGCCTCATCCCACCCCAGTGCCTAGGAAACATTAATCCAAGTCAAGTGATTGCCACCTGATTTGCTCTCTTCTTCCTGACCTTTGAGAAAATAAGAACTCTTAGTAACAGCAGCTCCTGGCACATGTGTCATGGAATCCTCTGGAAGAGAGCGGGACACGTTGCTCAGACTTGGGGTGCTCATTGCTGTCAGGCATGTGTGCTTTTAGGCCTTTTCAGTAAACAGAGCTGGGAAATCAGTATTTGGAGGATAGAGAAAATTATGAGTTCAGATATTTCACAACATAAAATTAATGTCTTCCATTTGATACTTTTTTGGCTTGAAGATCGTGGTTGCTAACCTTAGTTACCCATGTGCTTTAAACTAAATATATAAATGATGATTCAAAGTAACAGCAGTAATATTACTAATGCTCAGCAAGACTAGGGAACTAAAGTGAAAATGGTGTGTCAGTTCTGTGAAGTAATTTTTCTTGGTTTACATGCTGTTTGGTTAATTTGTTGGTTTTTAGTTTTCAGAACTTCAGATTCAATTTTAAAAATTTAAAATACACTAGACCCCTAAGTTATCACATTATGCAGCCGCAGCCGCAGCCGCAGCCGCTGGTGGACGCTGCGTTCCTGTTTCTTCCAGCTGCAGCCTCTTCACTGCGGAAAGCCATTACTTCTCTTGGGCTTAGCTCTTCAGTATTTGTTTTAGATTTTTTTCCCACCTTTCTTGTGCTGCTAGGACTCAAGTCCATGCTGAACATGAAGTGTACTCTAAACTACACACCCTGTCCACCAAATGTATGTGTATATTTTCCTCTCTCTCTCTCTCTCTCTCTCTCTCTCTCTCGCGCGTGCGCGCGCGCGCGCGCACACACACACGCACGCACACACACACCCCATCACAGCACTCTTACAACACACAAAAGATAGAAATCAAATGACCAGCACTAGAAAAGTGAGCTCTATGTATGTGTACGTGACCATTACCTGGGCACCCAGGAGATAAAGTGCTGGCACACACAGTAAGGGTGGACCCGCAAGCCACGAGGCCAAGCGAGAGAAGCCTCAAACAGGAGGCCACCCTCCTTGAGTCGGTCCGGGTGGAGTGTCTGGAGCAGGAAATACAGAGGTGCAAAGTAGATTAGTCGTAGTTTGTGAGGGGAGGTAGGGTGAAGAGTGGAGCTCCCGGGTGCCGAGTGTCCTTTAGGGGCTGGATGTGACCTAAAATTAGACAGTGGTGGTCTCTGCTAGCAAACATGTTTAGTATACTTGCAACTTGGGCTGTGCTAAAGGTACGGTCTGTGCGCTGTAGAGTGCATTGGGATAGCTCTCACCCTGACACACGGCCTGACGCACAGCACTGCAGCTCAGTATACTAAACCCTGCTGATTGAAAGGGTGAATTTCTTTAAATCTTTATTTTGTTTATTTATTTGGTACAGGCTCTCACTACACAGCTTGGACTCATAGTGGTCCTCCTGTCTCAGCCTCCCCAGTACTGGGATTACAGGCGTGTATCACCATGTGATACGGTTTTGGTGGCTGGCATGGTGACACAGCATGCAGTTCCGAGGATCAAAGCTGGGTCCTTGTGCTTGCCAGGCATGAGCTTACACCACTGAGCTGCCTCCTCAGCCTGAAAGAGTGAATTTGGGGGCCCTGGAATTACATATGAGTAGAGCTGTTACTTGTCCACGTGTCATTTCACGGGACCTGTCTTGCTGTGAGGTTGGGGTTCCTCGGGCAGCGGGAGAATGCGGAGGCTTTGCCGCACACGGCCCAGGCCCTTTCCAGGACAGGCACCGTCTGGCGCTCGTGACCCACACATGCTTCCTTCCTGTTCCCCCTTCTCATCCCCTCTCCTCAGGTTTGTTGATATTGTTTTAACTTTTACAAGTTTTCTTGTGCCTCAGAATATTAATCCTGGGGCTGGGGAGATAGCTCAGCAGTGTAAGCGCCTGCCTAACAAGAGCAAGGACCTGAGTTTGATCCCTGGTACCACATGCTGTGCCAGCCCCTGAACCCTGGGGGCACTGAGCCAGCCCTGAAATTGGGCGTGGTGGCACAAGCCTGTAATCCCAGTGCTGGGGAGGCTGAGACAGGAGAATCACTATGAGTCTGAGCTGCATAGGGAGACCCTGTATCCAATAAATAAATAAATAAATTTTTAAAAATATTGATCCTTCACAGTAGTTTATAAATCTGGGAAACGTGATACATAACTTTCCCAGTTTTCATTTGCCTTGTAAAAAATATATAGGCCCAGTTCAAAACCTTTTTCCCCCAGTTTCTAGAGTTTGAATCATAATTGGGGAAGTTTTTTCAGCTTCCAGCCTTGAAAAGGCAGATGTGTGTTTTCCTGTGGTGCTGGCCCCGTCACCTTCACCTTTGGGCTCTGGTGTGGTTGAGTGGATCCTGGTGAGCAATGTAGACGGTGGTCTGCTTTTATCCTTTTTCATGTAGCCACCCAGTTGCCCCAACATTTTTGAGGAAGGGTGAAAGAAAATAAGGTATCACTTTGGTTTCTGCATCATTTCTGGGCTGCTTTAGGCTTTTATGTCTTTGTAACACTGAGTGTGGGAAAGAGGAGAAGGGCGTTGCTGTCCCCTGACACTGACCAGGCTGCCCCCTTCTGTCTCCCCAGGTGAACGAGCTGGACGGCATTCCGCTGATCCTGGACAGCTGCAGCATCGACGACAGTAACCCCTGTATCCTTGCCTGTAGCCTGCGGCGCCTTTCCTGGTGCTCCTCTGTGAAGGACCGACTGGCTGGCTTGATCCTTGTTTCCCAGGAGTTCCTTGCTGGACTAGATGTCTTGTGACCTCTGGGGTACCGTTAGCTGAGTTTTTCAGTGTGACTAGGACATTGCAAACCAGCATGTCCCTGAAAAAATGCTGTGAAACTCTGGGGCAGTCAGCACACCCCAGGCCCCTGTGCTGCACATCACTGCTGTCACCTGCTCCAAGTATGTACGTGGTACTCAGTGCAAACATGATGTGTGTGACCTGTTTTTGCTAGAACCTTCTGAGTAATGGGTCAGTTGGAAAATAGCAGTTTGGCAACACAGAACATGAGAGGTGCTGTATCCTAGAGAGAGGGCGAGGCGAGCCAGCTGCCCCAGGCCTCTCTTTGCAGGGCCCTGTCCCCAGCCCTCTGTGGAGCAAGTGGGAGCCTAGTTCTTGCCCCTCCCCTGCTGGCTGCTCCCTGAGACCGTCTGCAGAACCTCATTTATTCCTCTGGCTTTACTGCAGAGTTGGGCCTTCAAAACTGGCCCAGGGTAGAGGGCAGTACCCCAGGGGCAGGTATAGCTGCTGAGGTTTGGGGTGAAACCTACTTTTGAGTTCTAGGAACTTTCCTGGTGAGTCAGCCTCAGCCCAACCCTTGCCCAGTGGCCAGGTAACTATGCCATTGTATGGGTGGGGAATGTCCCCAAAGGTGACGGCGAGGAGCCCAGCAGGGACAGAGGAGGCTGAGGGTGGGAACGGCAGTGCCGAAGTCCCCTTCCCGGGGCTTCTGCCAAGGCTAGCGGATTCAAGTGCTTCAAGATTCAAGTGCTTCAAAAGTAAGTTAACTGAGACATGCTGGTTATTCGCGCCACAGACAGTCATTTGTGTGACTCGCAGTAAAAGGAATCCATGTGAAGGAGCACAGGAGCTCATGAGAGCAGTCAGGGAGGGCAGATCTGCGGCCTCGTGAGAGCGGTCAGGGAGGGCAGATCCGTGGCCTCAGAGGCCCCGCTCAGGCCAATGGAGTTGGTCCTGTGCCTTGCTGTTACCATGCTACACACTGCTCACTAGGGCGCTGGACAGCTTGTAGCCCCCAAAATAAAAAAATAAAAATAAGAGGAAAACAGTGCAAGAATGTTCAAGTGCAGTTGCAGATGGTGCATTTTCCAACAGAAAAGGTGCTTTCTTGCAAAAACGAAATTGACCTACAGTTTACTTTTATGTTCTGAATTAGCCTCCTGAGATGGGGGTGCTGGCGCTGGCATCTGGCACAGGACAGAGTTTTAAACAGGCCGCTCCCCACGGCTCAGGGCTGGTGTGCTGATGCCCTGGGAGCCTAGCGCCCCGCCTTCGCCTGCCTGTCCTCGCTGTGCATGCCTTCATTCGCTTCTTTTTTCCCTAGTGCTGGGGTTAAGCTCAGGGCCTGTGCACGAAACTGCATCCCCAGCCCCTTTTTAGACTTGACTGAGAGTTTTGCCAAGTCACTAAGCAAAAGCTATTGCAGTCCTCCTGCCTCAGCCTCCAGGCGCGGGGCTCATAGGCACGTGCGGTCAGCCTGGCTTCTCATCTGCTCTTCATGACACGTTTCTCCAGTCCTCGACTTAATCGTGACAGCCCCAGAAGGTGGGCCCTGCTCCGTATCCCCTTTGTGCCAGCGAGGAAATCCCCGGAGACTCTTGGTGTCTTGTCCTGCAGACAGAAGTAGTCAGGAGTGCCTGCTTCCTGGCACCTTCCTGCCCCTCCTCGGGAGTCTCCAGGAGGCGAGGAGCAGCACAGAGAAGCCATGCCGCTGTGGGTGTGCAGCGAGAAGCGATTCGCTGGACAGTGCAGTGTGGCTGCCACATGGATGGGTGCTTTCGCAGTGAGGGGAGCATTGCGGGGTCCCGGAGTCTACTCTGAACCATGAGAGGAGATCAAGTACTGCAGTGGTTATGCTTGGTGTTGTGTGTATGTGGTAATTAGCGGGAGCTTTACTGTTGAGCCTACCAGATTTTCAAGTCCTGTGAAATATGTATAATAAAAGGTGACATCCAGAAATACCGGGCGGGGGTGGGGGGCTGTGTGACAGGAATGGGAAGGTGTGACCGCCTGCAGGGTCTTGGGAGTGCTGAGCTAAAATCTGGCCTTTCTGGCAGCAGTGCACATGGAGACAACGCGGCAGGCATTCAGAAGGCATCCCTCACACCGCACCCATCCGGTGTTTCTCCCACTCAGAGGCCTTTCCTAAGAGGCACCTCGTGACCCTGGCTGCATGCGTCACCTGCTGTGCACTTGTTTTCTTGGGTTTTTTTTTTTTTTTTTGTACATTTTTCCTTCCTGAAAGTACTACTTCTGTAGAGCAGCTCTGGTAGCACATGCCTGTAATCCCAGTGTTCTGGAGGCTGAGGCAGGAGGATTGCTGTGAGTTTGAGGCCAGCTAAATTCATGGTCATCCTAGACTAAGGGTGAGACCGTGTCTCAAAAAAAAGAAAGAAAGAAAAATAATACATTTGGGCCATTTTCCGCAGTTGCAGTATGTTTAATGCAAGCCCGACATCTCTGGCTCCATCATCTACTCCTGAATTCACTCTTCCCGGCTTCTTCCTGACGTCACTGCGTACAGTCTGGTGACATGCTCTCCAGTCCGTTGTGGGTATGGCCACCGTCGAGGGCCTCTCTGTAGGTTACGGTGAGCGTGGGCCTCCTGCTCGCCTCCCTCCACCCCTCTGTGTGAATTCATTGCAGGGAAGGGGTGTTAGCTGCTTGCAGCGCATGTGTCTGCACCTGCCTTTAGCCGTTGCGGTCCCTCCTTTTACGTACGCATGGCAGTCCTTGTCATCTCCGTGGGCTGCTCGTACTTTCCATTCTGTGACTTAGCTTGCCACTCTTTTAATTTTGAGTAAGTCCTTAGCTTGTAGTCCAAGTCGATTTGTGGCCAGACATTTTACTTGTCATGTGGTTAGCTTTTTGTTTTTGTTTTTGTTTTTAAGGTAATCCTGTTTGAGAAGTTTCTGTGCTGTCAGGCCAAGATGAGAGCTCTGAGCAGGGTCTGAACACTTCCGCACTTTTACTTCCTCTGCATGTGTTTGCAGTTCATCCAATGTTGAATTTTGGGTAGAGTGGTGACCTGGGGGTCTGTGTATATTTTTTCCAGAGGGGGTGACATAAGAAGTATGTGAGCCCTGGTTGTTGGAAAGGAGATGTAGTGCCGGATAGGGCCAACATTTGGGCCTCTTTGGAGGCCCTTCTCTTCCAAGGATCTGTGCGCCTATCCCTGCAGCAGCGCCCCAGTCTTAATTACCTGGCTTTCTAGCTTTTCTTCATACAGCCGTGTATCTTTCAAAACAGTGGCTGTTTTTATCCTCTTATTTCTTTTTAAGACAGGGTCTTGTTATGTAGTTTAGGCAGGCTTTAAACTCACTATATAGCCCAGGCTGGACTAGAACTCACAGCAGTCCTTCTGCCTTAGCCTCCCAAATCCTGGGATTACAGGTATGTTCCACTGCACCCCACAATTTTTATAAATCTTCAAATCCGGTTGTCAAGTTCTGCGCGTTTCTTCTTGTGGGCACATGTGCACACACGCACAAGTACCGTCAAAAAACAAGTTTGAATTCCCCAACCTGACTTACTCACTGAAGTTACGTTGGCTAAAATGGATTTAATGAGCTTGGTATGTAGTACTGAACCTTTGAACCCAGTGACTTGTTCTAGCCGTCCACTTGAGAGTTATTTTTACCTTTTGTCTTTTCTGTGTGCTTCTTGAGCTCCATTGCATGTGTGTTGATATGTACTCTCAAGTTGCCATTCATTTGAAATAGTTTTATAATTTGTTTTGGTTTTGGTCCATACCTGATTGACAAAGGAGTGTCTTAATTTCTAAACAAATGAGAATTTAGGGCCATCGAGATAGCTCAGCAGACTAAGCACCTGCTTAGGCAAGTGCAGGGACTGGGTTCAACCCTGCCACCACATGCCATGCCTAACCCAGCCCAGGGCTCACTGAGCTGGACACTAAGAGTGGGTGTAATGGCTCACGCCTATAATCCCAATGCTGGGGAGGCTGAAAACAGGAGGATCACTACAAGTCCAAACTGTGCAGTGAGACCCTGCACCAAATACATTAGGAAGGGAAGGGGAAGGGGAAGGGGAGGGAAAAGGAAAGGGGAGGGGAGGGGAGAGGAGAGGAGAGGAGAGGAGAGGAGAGGAGAGGAGGAGAGAATTTGCTTGTTGTTTTGGTTTGGTTGGATTTTTTGTTCTTGAGGTTCCCTTTTAGCATCAGTGCCTTAGGATCTTGATGCTGAATGACCTCACATTTGATGACCTCTGCTGTGCAGATGAGACTTGCTTTGGGACCTGGTACAGATCAGTGCTCGCAGATTTTCTGTCCCTGCTTCAAAAGCATTTCTGTTCCTCTGCAGCTGGGCGCAAGTACATCCAGTACATTAAGTTTGTGAATAGTTGTATTGAAAGCTTACATGTGCTTACTGTGTTTTTCTGCTCAATTATAGGTTCTTTAAAATTTCTGCCTATGATTATGGATTTGTCTTTTTCTCTCTTGGGTTATATAACTTTGCTTTATGTACTTTGAGGCAGTTGCTTTTAGATAAAGGTATGAAATAACCTCTGCTGTCATTAGAATTAATTTTCTAAAAATGTGTCTTTGCCTAATATTAATAGAGCTATGGCTTGCCTTGGGGTGGATTTACATATTATAACTGTTTCAATCTGTTTATCTTCAGACTTTCTGTATGAGATATGCTTTGTGTGAAGAACATATAGCTGTTCTTTTTTACTTTAATATGTGTGTGTGTGGTTTTTTGTTTGTTTGTTTGTTTGTTTTTAACTCAGGCCCTTGTGCTTGCCAGGGAAGCACTTATTCCACTGAGCCATCTCCCCAGCCCCTAAGCCATCTATCTCCCTTGCCCCTTTTTACTCTAATTTGACAATCCTTACATTTTACTATTGCATCTAACCCATTTACATTTAATGTAATTACTAAC